GATTGGTGTGGAGGGGAAGATCTGTTTATGATATAGTTCAAGAAAGAGTCGTCTCATTTCCTTACTTCTTCGTTCTTTCTAATTCATTCACTTCAAGGCTGGTTCTGAACGCCGCGTAACATCATCTTCAACCAACCTCCACCGTACGTAACTTTCGGTGCGGCCACTAAAGAATTGCTTATACACTAAACAGCTGTTTATATACGCTTACTAAAAGACTGACTTTCATTCATTAGGCCAGCGTGAAACTAAGAAAGAGAGATGTGCCTAAAGCGGCATGCAAGCAAACTGTGCACGCGGAGAGATGTTCGCAATTACTACCACAGGAAAGCCGCTCCCCTATCTCTAAAGGGGCCCGTAACTTTTCTTGGCTTAGGCTTCCAACTGAACTTACTTTATGGCCTTGCCGCCCGCCCGAAGCTAAGCGCTTGAAAAGCGCGCTAAGAAACGTTGCTTCTGTCGGCCTTTCTGTGCAACAGTCCACCAGTAGCGGAAGAGAGGGTTACCGTACATACAAGAGTCTTCCGTTTTTACGTAAGCTTTTTATTACCAGTAAAGTAGTACAACAACTGTATCTTATAGCCCGGCGCGGCCGGTCGCCTTTTGAATTCAGTAGATAGAAGAAACTATTAGATAGATAAGGAGTAGGCGGGTGAGTGAGTGAGTCCTCACTGACCTGAGCGATTTCGATCACCTAGCAGGCCTTTTTTTGGTAGGTAACATCGCCGAAGCGTATCATCTGATTTTACTACGAAGGAAGGAACTCGAAGTGAGACGGCACTGTCTTGTCCAACGCAACGATATGGCCCTCTATCATCTTCTATCCGGTAGACTTGGTAAAAGGGCCCCGACTTTTTTCCAGAATTAGAGTTCGACCGCGGCTGCCCCCTTTTTTTGGGGGTTGGTCAGAAGTCAGTCTTGTTTGGTAAGACGGAATTGGACAAAGAAAAGAGAGTGCTCGACCGCGGCCAACAAAGACCGTAATTACATAGATAACCGCTCCTCCCCTTCTCCGTCTTTAAGGCTTTAAGGCGAACTGTATGGCGGCTGGAAAGAAAGACGACCTCACCTTCTCGTAGATGGTGTTAGTGAGAGCAACTTTAGTATCCCCCGTTGACCTTCTTTTGCAGATAGAATCTTCAATGAGTGGAAACAAGCAACCTTACTAATAAAGGTGCTTGTTGAGTAAGGCCGGCGCCCAAGCCCCTTGTATAGGTTGGGTGCTTGAGCGCATGTTTCTCATATCGATCAAGGCTTTCCTTGAGTTTTCAATAAGGGGCGCGTTAGCACTCCTGCAAGAAAACGGCCTAGCTAACGCGCGCCCTTACGTTTTCTTCGCTTGCTCTGCCTGCAGTACGAGCCTCATACAGAGCCGCGCCCCTTTAATATGATGAGAATAAGAGGGACCGCCCTCTTTTTTTTCCGCACCAATCCTTATTTACTACTATATCTTTTTTGGGTGTATAGCTCAGTTGGTAGAGCATTGGGCTTTTAACCTAATGGTCGCAGGTTCAAGTCCTGCTATACCCAAACCTACCTTACACTATACTATTAGTAAGGATGCGTAGTAGCGTTCAAAGATCACTCTTTGGCCTTTAGACTCGCTTCAGCGACTTCGCCCTTTAAGTGACAAGGGGGGGGGTGAGGTAAGGAGTAGTATAAGAGTGGCTCGGTCATCAATAGGCCTCTCCTTATTCAGGGCGGGGCCGCGGACCAACAATTCAGCAAAAGGGCTAAAAAGCTCCTTTATCAAACCTTCCCCTTTTCATAATAATAAGGTAAGCTTGGGTTCCAAACTATATGCGGTCTCGCTATTCTTTGTTTGCATTCAAAGGTCTTGTGCCTGCGCTATCGAGTCACGTGCCTAACTTCCAAAGAATGAATCATATGGTAGAGGAGCGAAAGTGGCCGGGGCGGCGGTGTAGAGCTATAAGGAGCGAAGCTCACACACAACGGCTGATGGAGGGCGGGGTCACATTCACTTGCTTGCGGCCCGGCTCCATAATAGTGGAAAGTGGGCGCGCCCCCGGGAGGGTAACGAGATTCAACTGGATGGTCACGCTTTTCGAGAACGGTTTTTCCCTCAGAAAGCTGGTTCCGTGAGTCAAAAGACCCTAAACAAGGCAAGCCGAAAATCTTTTTTTCCTCTTCCTCACATCGATGTTCTGGTGGACAACACCGCTGGACATGGGATGCTGTCCTTTATGGATGCTTTCTCTTGATATAACCAGATCAAGATGGCCGAGGAAGACAGAGCGTTTATCACAATATCGGATAGGAGGGCACGTTCTGTTACAAGGTGATGCCGTTTGGTCTAAAGAATACCGGGGCGACGTACCAGCGAGCCATGACTGCGCTGTTTCATGATATGATTCACAAGGAAATGGAGGTCTATGTCGATGACATGATCGCCAAGTCTTGGGCTTAAGAAGACGGTGAATTTGAAGAAAGTGTTTGACAGATTTCGGAAATACAGTCTTCGTCTTCATCCGAAAAAGAAAGCCGGGAGGGGGTTTGGTGCTTTGTCAGGTAAGCTACTCGGGTTCATTGTCAGCAGAAGAGAAATCGAAGTCGACCTGCAAAAGGCAAAGCAATTATCGACATGCCGGTACCAAAGACAGAGAAAGAAATCAGGGCTTTTTGGGGCAGGCTACAATACATCAGCAGGTTCATTGCCCAGCTCACACCCATCTGTGAGCCGATCTTTAAACTGCTCAGAAAGAATACCCCGCCTTTCAGAAAAGATAGACACAAGGAACGAGGATTGCCAAAAGGCGTTTGACAAAGTTAAGAAATATCTACTCAATCCTCCCATCCAGGCACCGCCAACGCCTGTCGACCTCTCCTGATGTATCTGTCAGTAATGGAAGCATCCATGAGTTGTGTCCTTGGTCAGCACGATGAAACGGGTAGGAAGGAAAGAGCCGTATACTATCTCAGCAAGAAGTTCACTGATTATGAGACAAGGTATACGGTTCTAGAAAAGACCTGTTGTGCTCTTACACGGGCCTCGCAACGCCTACGCCACTACATGTTGAACTATACGACCATGCTGATTGCAAGGGTGGACCCGCTGAAGTATCTCTTTGAAAAGCCAGCCCTCACGGGCCGTACAGCAAGGTGGCAGATGTTACTCTCAGAGTTCTATATTGTGTACGTCACCCGGAAGCCCTAAATGAGAAAGGCAAGAGGCAGGCAATAGCAGACCACCTGCGGATCATCCCATCCCGTGCCTGACTATAAGCTTGATTTTTTTAGTAAGGGGACTAATTTCCCGGGCGAGGCTATTCTATTTGCGGTAGGCGAAGAAGAAGACGAAACTCCTCATGATTGGCAAATGTTCTTTGACGGTGCAGTAAATCAGAACGGAAATGGAGTTGGAAGCAGCCCCTTTCTACATGCTTGCTATCTTAAAGCTCGCCAAAAGGAGCCCAGCCCATATTCCCATAGCTGTCAAGTTGAGATTCTTTTGCACAAACAAACAATATCGCAGAATATTCTGCGTGTATCACAGGCGCTTCGCGCCCTCGAGTTGAGAATCAAGGAGATTGATGTATATGGAGATTCGTCACTTATCATCTTTCAGACAACTGGTGATTGGAAAACCAAAGATCAGAAGCTCATTCCCTACCATCAGTATCTGGAAGATATCAGCCTAAAGTTCAGACGGATTACCTTCAATTATATGTCGAGGACGAAGAATAAGTTTGCTGACGCATTGGCCACACTAGCTTCCATGATCAGTAGACGGTATTGATATCCGGCCAATAGAA